CATGAGATTCAGGGTTTGATCCCTAGCACTGTAAAAAATAAACAACAACAACAACAAAACAGTAAATCATACTTTAGTGAAATCATACTTTTTCGGCCTGTGGCTCTGTGATGTCTGTCACATCTGCTCAGCTTATGATAACCCCCAAAGCAGCAGACATGGACAGTATTTAAGTGAATGAGCATGGCTGTATTCAGTAAAATTTTATTTACAAAATACCCAGCTCACCATTAAAATTTTTAAGACAAAAAGATAAGGAAAAATAGAAGTTAGATATAGTAGGGGATTTTTGATTCAACTCTTCCAGTCCTTGATAGAATAAGAATAGAGAATAGGTTATGACATAGGATATGACACATGAGGTTAATAACATCATAAATGGTGTAACAAACAACATACCATGAAAACAATGATTTTTTTTTTCACACACCCTTTAGGCCTCCAAAAAAAATTTAGTTAATATAAGAAGCAAAGATATATGTAGATTATGATCCTATTTCTTTTCTAGAATTTAAACAGAAAAGTACAAAAATTTTCCATTTGAAAAAAAAACCCTCTTTTTTTAAGAAGAATATTTTTAGTTGTAGATGGACACAACACCTTTATTTTATTTATTTAGTTTTTTTAAGTGGTGCTGGGGATCAAACCCAGTGCCTCACGCATGCTAAGCAAGCATTCTACCACTGAGCCACAACCCCAGCCCTGAAAAAGACTAACTCTTGGGTCAAAGGAAAAATAAAAAATTAAACCAAATGGTAGAATGTGCTGATAGTCAAAATTCTGTGTATTAATACCTATGGGACATATAGTTAAAGCTGTACTCAAAGGAAAATTCATAGATGTAAATAGAATAATATTAAGCTGGAAAAGAAGGAAAATTCAATCCAAGAAGTAGAATAAAATAATTGGAAGAAAGTGGAAGGATGGTATTAGCAGAGATAAAAGCAGAAATTGAGGAAGTAGATAAATGAGAGTGCTAATAATAATAAATGAGAGTGCTAATAAGATGTTTTTTATTTTTGGTAGACAGTGTTGATAAAAATATTAAGCAGATAAACTAAAGCTCATCATGAACAAAGGGAGAAAACACAAATATCACATTGTATGTGAAGGTGCAGTAGGACATGGATATTTAGAAAATTAAATGTAAAAAGTTTACTCTGCTCAACTGGATACAGATAAATTGAAAACAGAAGAGCACTATTAGGCTCAAGCAACCCAAGGAACATAGATAACTGAAATGCTTTTTACATTCTTAAAGATCAGAAAAAGAGGGATGGAGTTAAGCTCAGTGGTAGAGCTCTGCCTAGCTCTCAGGAGGCCCTGGGTTAGATCCCCAACACAACCTGTGTGTACACGCATGTAGAAAAAAGAACATAGGAAAATTAAAAAAATGTTTTGTAAATTACTTTTTGCAACATTATATTGATACCAATCTGCCAAAACACACAGAAGAAAACTATACCATTCTCAAAATACAAAAATCTTGCTGGGCATAGAGGCACTTGTTTATAATCCCAGCAATTTGGAAGACTGAGGCAAGAGGATCAAAAGTTTGAGGTCAGTCTCAGCAAACTAGTGAGTCCCTAAGCACCTTAGTGAGAATCTGTCTCAAAATAAAAAGGACTGGGAATGTGGCTCAGTGGTTAGCACCCCTGGGTTCAATCCCTGATTACCAAAAAAAAAAAAAAGATTAATTAAAAGTTAAAAAAAAAAAAAAAAAATCCTAGATATTGGTGTCATTCAACAGCACATTAAAAGAATAAATAATATATGATAATCAAGTTGGCTTTTCTTATATTTTTCTTATATGGAGGTGTTAAACACCATAATTTTAAAAGTGTAAACAGGAAATAAGATTTCCCTAGGTGATGAAAAAATTGATTAAATTAACCATCAACTTTTACTAAGTTGCTTTGGGCCTTGCTGAGTCTGGCTTCAGCATCTTCCTGCCTCTGCCTCCAGAGTCGCTGGGATTACAGGTGTGCGCCACCATATCCAGCTCACCATTAAAATTTTTAAGACAAAAAGATAAGGAAAAATAGAAGTTAAATTATAGTAGGATATTTTTGATTCAACTCTTCCAAATAAAACAAAAACTCAGAAACTTGACAGTATTGGGGGTCTTAACCCAGGGGTGCTTTACCAATGAATTACATTTCTGGTCCCCATCCCCACCCCCCTTTTTTTTATACTGGGGATTGAACTTGGATCACTTAACCTCTGAGCTATATCCCCCTGACTTGCTATTTTTTTATTTTGAGAGTATCTTTTTAAATTGCTGAGGGTCTTGATAATTGACAGAGGCTGGTCTCCATCTTGTGTACATCCTGCCTCAGTCTCCCAAATTGCTGGGATTACAGGTATTTTTCACCATGCCCAGCTCAAAAACCTATTCTTAGTAAGATAGGAATTGTTGGGCTTGGGGATGTAACTCAGCTGGCAGAGTGCTTGCTGTGCATGCACAAGGCCCTGGGTTCAATCCCCAGCACTAGTAAATAAACAAATAAATAATAGGAATTGTGGGTTGCTTTTTTAAAAATATTTTTTTAGTTGTAGATGGACACAATATCTTTATTTATTTTTATGTTGTGCTGAAGATCGAATCCAGAGTCTCACATGTGCGGGACAAGTGCTGTACCGCTGAACCACAACCCCAGCCCCTGTGGTTTACTTTTTTTCTTTTCTTTGGTGCTTGAGATTGACCCAGGGCCTAGCATGTGCTAAGCATACACTTTCCCATGGAACTACAAATATGGAATATGTGTTGTGATGTGATGCAAGTTAGCATTATTTCTAATGAAGCAGTTATTTAAATTTAGGAGTTAACAGTGTTGCTGCCACTGTCATTATTATCATCATCATGATTATTATTTGTTGTACTGGGCATTAAACCCAGTGGTGCTCTATCATTGAGCTACATCTGACTCTTTTATTTTTTTAGTTTGTGACAGAGTCTCACTAATTTCCTGAGGCTCGCCTCAAACTTGTAATTTTTTCTGCCTCAGCCTCCAGAGTACCTGGGATCACAGGTGTGTGACATTATGCACAGCTTTGCTTTTATTGCTTAACATTTTTTCTAGTGGTTCTAGCTAATTGAGTTATGGGAGAATATATGCTTAAAAAACTGGAAAGAAAGGTGAAATCCTCAATTTTTAAATTCTTTTTTTTTAATATCTTTATTTTTATTTTTATGTGGTGCTGGGAATCGAACCCAGTGCCTCACGCATGCCAGGCGGGCGCCCTACCACTGAGCCACATCCCCAGCCTGAAATCCTCAATTTTGATTGCATAACTAGGAAATTTCATAGTAAAATGTAAGCATTGCCTTTCATATCCCTCCATTCTTGCCCTTAGACTTATGTGATTTGTAAAATATTCTTCTACATACCAACACACAGGTTTGTTTCTTTTTAAAAAATTATTTTTTTAGTTGTAGATGATACAATATCTTTATTTTGTTTATTTATTTTTATGTGGTGCCGAGGATTGACCCAGGATCTTATGAGCGCCAGACAAGCACTCTACCACAGAGCTACAATCCCAGCCCTCTTTCTTTCTTTCTTTTTTTTTTTCTATAAAGGTAATCAAACAGATTCTGTAAATGACTTTTTTTAAAAAAGTTTTTTATTTGTTTTAATTAGTTATACATGACAGTAGAGTGAAGCAGGAGGCATCACAATACCAGACCTTAAACTATACTACAGAGCCTTAGTAACAAAAATGGTGTGATATTGGCACCAAAACAGACATGTAGACCAGTATTACAAATAGAAGACAAAGAGACAAACCCACATAAATACAGCTATCTCGTGCTAGACAGAGGCGCCAAAAACATTTAGTAGAGAAAAACTAGCCTATTCAATAAATAGTGCTGGGAAAATTGGAAATCCACATGTAACAAAATGAAACTAAACCCCCATCTCTCACCCTGCACAAAACTCAAAGTGGATCAAAGACTTAGGCAACAGAAACCCTGTGCCTAATAGAAGAAAAAATAGGCCCAAATCTTCACCATGTTGGCTTAGGATTTGACTTCTTTAACAAGTCTTCTAAAGTGCAAGAAGTAAAATCAAGAATCAATAAATGGGACAGCTTCAAACTAAAAAGCTTCTTCTCAGCAAAGGCAACAATCAATAAGTGAAGAGAGCCAGCAGAATGGGAGAAAATGTTTACCACATGCACCTCAGAGCATTAATCTCCAGGATATATAAAGAACTCAGAAAACACCCAAAAACAAAACAACCCAATCAATAAATGGGCTAAGGAACTGTATATAACTTTTTAAGCTTAATTGTACCCAGGGTATTTTTTCACTGAAGTTCATACACACTTACTTGAACTAATTTGTGAAAGACTTTGCCAGGTAGATGAGTAGTTTAAGAGAGTATAAGAATGAAAAATCGTCTGGGTTGCTTTGACATATTTCCTGTCCTAACTATTCAGACCTTTAGGAAAGCTAAATGAATTTGTAGTCCAACTCTTGCATCCCAATAAGGTGGAAAGGAAAAGCTCTAATTTTTGTTTTATATTGATGTTATTAGATTTACTTAGTAATTTGAGTGATTTATTAATATTGCATTTTTTTAAATCTATTAAAGTTATCGAAATGTTTCTTAAGGAGAATACAAATATGCTACCATTATCACTAGTAGGTGAAATTAGTAATATAAGAATTAACATTTATGGGCCGGAGATGTGGCTCAGTAGAGCACTTGCCTATCATGCGTGAGGCACTGGATTCGATCCCTGGCACCACATAAAAATGAAAACAAATAAAATAAAGGTATTGTGTTCATCTACAACTAAAAAAATATTTTTAAAAATGTTTCTTAAAAAAGAATTAACATTTGTGAATAATAACTTAAATTTATCCAGCACTTACCATGTGCTAGGCATGATCCTTACTGTTACATGCTTTGTATCATTTGATCCTTAGAACAACAGTGATAACATCTCCTATTATCCCTATTTTACAGATGAGAAAACTGAGATTCAGAGAGGTTAAATGATTTGATCAAGATAACACAGTAAGTGTTATATTTGGGGCTGGAACGACTGTGTCTTCTCAAGTATTTATGTTTCTTGTCATTTGCTGGTATACGGAATGTTTCATTCAACCTTTTTTCTTTTTTTTTTTTTTTTTTTAGCACTAAGGGTTGAAACCAGGGCTTTGCACATGATAAGAACATACACTTTACCACTGAGTTGCACCCTAGCTCCATGTTCAGATTCTGAATGAAAGGGTATTTCCCAAGTGTTCCTGTAGCTGGTATCTTAAGCTGTTCCATCAGCTTTGGGAGGATGGGTTGGTCTGCATCAGCTCTCAGAGACACTGACTTTGCAAAATAGGTTTGAGTTTCAGTGTTGTGGACTCCTGTGGGGTTATGTAATAGCTACCCTTTTGGGGGCAGAAGGGTATAGGCAAAGGCAAAGGTCTTTTGGATATAGAAAGGTAGTCAGTATTGTAAAATTCCCTTCCATTTTCTAATGGAATCTCAGAAGGCTTAAGCAATGATTATTATCCTACTTCCAGTAATTAGAAGCACCAGGTGAGGTGGAGTGCTGGATGATATAACTGTGGTTGGATGACTAGGCTTTGTGCTGAAAAAGCTTAGAGTTTAGATGTTATAGTGTGGTGGAGTATTAGAAGGAAAATAACATTTTTTAAAAATTTTACTTTTTATTAGAGCATTATAATTATATGTAGTATTTGGGTTCCTTTTGATAAGATTATCCCCATTCCTCCTCCCTATTTTATATTTTATTTGCTCTATTTTTATGTTTCATAAACATTTATTACAAATTGGCAAATATTTTGTCAACATAAGAAAAAAGGTAGGGACTGGCTGTGGCTCCATGGTAGCGTGCTTACCCAGCATGTGAGAGGCACTGGGTTCGATCCTCAGCACCACATAAAAATAAACAAATAAAATAAAGATACTGTGTCTATCTACAACTAAAAATTAAAAAAAAAAATAAGAAGAAAGAAAAAGAAAAGAAAAAATGTAGAATTTCTGAGAGAGGTTTTAGGTCTATAGTTTATTCCATTGGCCCAGTAAAGGGATTTGGTTTTCTAAAAATACAAGTACATAAACACCTGTAAAAAGACCTGTACTGGTGACAGTTCATTTGGTGGAGGAGTTCTGCTTTAAGGTATTTGCAAAACTTAACCTGAGTAAATGTTGTTTAGTTCCATTTTGAGAGATAGGATAGCATATTTTATAATGTCTTTTTTTTCTCCTATTTGACCGCATTAATGAGATGTTGGAGTACAAGGAAGAATCCATTACATTAGGAAGGGTGATAGTGGCATATTTTATAACCTGGATGAACTAGCTTTGCTTATTTCTACTTGTTAACTAGGCTTTTGATGTTTTTATAGACAGTCTGCTTCATCTCGATTCAGCAGCGTTCCAAACTGTGGTATCCTTGGGGTTTTCTTAACATTGCTATGGTGCAGAAGATTTAAAATCAGGTATGGCTGTGAGGCCAAAGTTCCTCAGTGAAATTCTCAATTTAAATCTACCTTGTGCTCTCTGATTGATCATTTGGGTTTCTTTTTTTGTGGTGGCCCTTTAGCTGATGTTCACAAGGAATAGAGTCACGTGATGTATGAAGGGAAACATATACACTTCTCTGAGGTTGACAATAAGCCCTTGTGCTCGTATAGCCCCAAACTGTGCAAGCAGCGGCGTCTCAACGGCTACGCTTTCTGTATCAGACACGTTCTGGAGGACAAGACTGCCCCCTTCAAGCAATGTGAATATGTGGCCAAGTACAACAGCCAGCGCTGCACCAACCCCATCCCCAAATCAGAGGATCGTAGGTAAGCAGTCAGTCCTTGATCTCAAGGGTAAGCTTGCCTCCTTGCTGTCTTCTCTTTTTTCCTTTCTCCCTCTTTCAGTGTGGTGAATTTAAATGTTGAGTTCTGGGGGAATCCAAGTAAACTTGGGAATACTTCTTAAAAGATTGAAATTTCTTTTAAACAGAGTAGTAAGTTTGAGGGATTATTTTAAAAATATGTGCAAGTGTTTTCTATTTTTATTCATTTCATAGACTTGTAGGATTTTGTTTTTAAATTATTTCCCCCTGAAAATTGCTGCTTGGCTTCTTGGTACTAGTTTACTTGGTTTGTGTCCTTATAAAGTATTCCCATCTTTTCTACTTAGTTTTATCCATCTGTCTAGAGAAAGAAACTATAGGAAATAACTGTTATAATTTATAATAATTTGGGTGTTTTTAAATATATGCATGAAAGATAGTGAAGGATATGTTAATTAAATATATGTAATTAAATCCTAATTAAGGGTTGGGGTTGTGGCTCAGCGGTAGAGCATTTGCTTAGCTATGTAAAGCCCTGGGTTCTATCCTCAGCACCAACTGCAACTAAAAACTAAATATTTAAAAAAAAAAAATCCTAATTAAAAGAGGTTTTAAAATAGTATTCAAAATATTCAGAAGATTTACTTCCTAAACAGACTACTAAGTTTTGGCATTGTCTTATATATAATTTTGACTTTTTTTGGTCCAAAAGGGTTCCAAATACATTTTGTTTACCATAATTTAGACACTTTTTGCTTTATGGGTAGGCTAAAGTGTGGAAGTTATTTTGAAAGGAGTTAAGACCCATTGTCTTTCATAGTCTTAAGAAAGTTTATGCTTTCAGATATAATCTCTTCTTCATGTATCTTTTTCTTTAGTTCTCCAGAAACCATTCTTATCATTGTGGAACATGACACAGGGATGTATACTTGTTTTCCCGAAGTTTTAGATAGTTATCTTTAGGTATAAGAGTTGAAACTTTTACTTCCGTCTTAGATCATGCGTGCACACCCATACACCCACACACCCTCACACTCTCACCCACAATTGTATACATAAGCAAATGCTACCAGTATACATTAGTTGAAAAAGAGAGACATGTGTTTTTTTATGTCATAGTAAATACTGTTTTTTAATTTTTTCGTGTGAAATAATTTATGTTGGTAGAGATCCGACCAAAATGAGAATATATATAATGTGGTGATTTGGGAGTACCCTACTAGAATTTCTAATGAGCATTAAGGCTTCAAATAACAATACCTGAAAGTTAGAAACAGCTGCTTAGTGAGGCAAGAAATAAAATTTTAATCTCAGGTGAGAAAGGGACCTGTATATTAGAATAAACATATCTATCTAGTGGGTTTTAGCTCACTGAAAATAATAATTTCTTACCCCTGCTCTCTTTTAACAGCCCAATTTGTAAGCTTGGAGTAATTTCTTTACTTCAAGCTCCATTGTAAATACATTTCTATAATTTTGTCATAAATTCAGTTTATCACAGTTGCAATTGTCAGCCTTGGATTTCTTTTGGTGTTTTTTGTTTTTTTTTTTCCCTATTTGTGCTAAAGCAAGTATTATCTTGATAGTTAACAGTAAGCCTGAAGAAAGAGTCCTGAATTTCTTTAAAATTTTAATTCTCTGAAGTATTTGTCTTCAAAGTAATTTCTTCTTTTGAGGAAAGGATAAGGGAAAGAAGTTTTTGTGTTTCTGTGTTAAGAGAAGCTATGCAAGAAATAACAAGTTATACTTATTTTTTTCAAAATTGTTTTATGACCATATCAATGAAAATTATAGGAATTTTTTTTGTTTCAGCACTAGGGATTTTTTTTTTTTTTAAGCACTGGGGAATTGAACCCAGGGCTTTGTGCATGCTAGGCAAGTACTCTTCCACAGGTACATCTCCAGCCCTCGGTATTTTTGTTGCTTGTAGGGTTGCCTGAAAATAAATTAAAGTGAAGTCAAAAGAGGTAATGTTATTATTTTTTTTTTCAGTTGTAATGCACACAATACCTTTGTTTTGTTTGTTTATTTTTTTATGTGGTGCTGAGGATAGAACCCAGTGCCTCACACGTGCTAGGAAAACACTCTACCACTGAGCCACAACTCCACCCCAAAAGAGGTGATATTCTTGTTACCTCAAGAAATCCAGGTTGAATTCATGTATTAATATGTTTAAACCTATATATGTTTAAATATATATATATATATTTAAATTTATTTTTAATAGCTTAATTAAGATGTGATTCACATACCATACAGTTCATTCATTTAAAGGGTACTAGTCAGTATTTTTTACTACGACATAAGACTACACAGCTATCATCATAATCTAATTTTAGAACATATTTATTATCCCCAAAGAAACCCTGACTCCATTAGCAGTCATTTCCAGGTGGTGGTTCTTTTAGACTGAAAATTTAAATCTATATACTTATTTTAAATGTTGTCCCCATAACTAAGTTACTATAGTCTAGTTATAAAGAATTTTTCCACTTAAAAGAAGCAGAGTTTTAAAAAAATATATATATATGTTTATACTTTTATTTTCTTTCTTTATTTTTATGTGGTGCTGAGGATCGAACCCATGCTAGGCAAGCACTCTACTGCTGAGCCACAACCCCAGCCCCAAGAAGCAGAGTCCAGACTATTTGTTGTGGGTGGTGGTGTTGTCCCAGTATCTAGAATTAAGGGTGAAGAGGGAAGGCTGCCTCTGTCAATGAGCCTCATTCTAGTCAGTAGCACAGAGCAGCCTCATTTACCAGCTGGGGTTGTCCACATATAAATGAGCAGAGAAGTTTGATTTCTGAACTAAAAAAACAAAAACCATAAAAACTACATCATTGTTCCTCCCTAAAAAGCTAATAAGCCTTTTGTTAATTATAGAATTGAGTTGAAAACAACAAAAACCATTTACTCTCTTAAATTATAATTATTAGTGCTTATTAATTATGCCAAATTATACAAAATTTGGTATGACATTCTTTAATATTTTTTAGTTGTTGATGAACCTTATTTTATTCATTTATTTACATGTGGTGCTGAGAATCAAACCCAATGCCTCTCACAGGTGAGGCAAGCGCTCTACCACTGAGCCACAACCCCAGCCCCTGGATGACATTCTTATATATACATATAATATATTAAATCATGTCATTTTCCCTGTTTGCTCTTTTACCCTTTCCCGCTGGTCCCCTTCTCCTCTGTCTCCCAATTAAATTTTTTTTAGGTATATATTTTTTAATTGTAGATGGACTCAGTACCTTTATTTTATTTATTTATTTTTATGCGGTGCTGGGGCTTGAACCCAGTGCCTCACACATGCTAGGCAAGTGCTTTGCCACTGAGCTACAGCCCCAAACCCCTATTTAAATTTTTTTTTTGGTACCAGGTATTGAACCCAGGGGCACTTAACCACAGAACCATACCACCCCCCCCCCCCCGCCTTTTTTTTTTTTTTTTTTTAAGTATTTTATTTAGAGACAGGGTCTCACTGAGTTACTTAGGGCCTTGCTAAGTTGGTAAAGCTGGCTTTGAACTGGGAATCCTCCTGCCTCAGCCTCCTGAGCCACTGGGATTACAGGCATGCTTCACTGTACCTACCTGCGCCCCTTCCCCACTGTTTAAGTTTTACTAAATTGTTTTATTGTTTTTCACTTTTTGGTTAATGTAGTTTTCCTAATATTCCTTTCCTTGCTGGCTACAGCCTTTTTCTTTCTTTCTTTCTTTCTTTCTTTCTTTCTTTCTTTCTTTCTTTCTTTCTTTCTTTCTTTCTTTCTTTTTTTTTTTAATAACGAGGAGTGCATTACCACTGATCCGTATCCCCAGCTCTTTTTATTTTTTATTTAGAGACAGGATCTCACTAAGTAACTGAGGCTGGCTTTGAACTTGGATCTTCTTGCCTCCTCCCAAATCTCTGGGATTACAGGTGTGCACTACCATGCCTGGCTGCTGGCTACAGCTTTCTGAATCTCTTTTATTTAAGGTATATGTGGTACCTAGCACAAATCTACTAGTTGAACTTGGAGGTATCATCTGTATTTCAAAAGAATAGGTTCCATTTTCAAATAACTTGAAGATTTCATGCTTGGTCAAAGAGGACAACCTTGGTCAAAGATACACAAGTAGATGTAGTCTCCTGCTAGAACCTCCAAGCAAGCTCTCAGATAACTTGGAGAAACACTGCCAGACGGGTACACATCCGTTTTGGAACTTCTTAGTGCATATTATACAAAATGTTTTGAGAAAAATTTCAGAAGAAACAAGCAACAACAAAATCAATGTCTAGTTTTGTTTAAGCCAGCAATTTTCAAATTTTCTTAAGTATGGAATACTGTTTTTATGTATACTAAGTAAATATACTGAGTAAATATTCATAAGTGAAACTGGATGAATAATGTGAGTTTAGAGGTGAAATATTCTATTGATTAAAAGCCTCCATGAGTTTTTAGAGTGATTAATTGGTGTATCATGTCTTCTGCTTTCTCATTATGTAACAGGACTCTATCCTTTCCTAATATATATATTTTTAATTTTATGTTTTATTCTTTTAATGTCTTAAAAATGACATTTACGTTGCAAAGATAGCCTGCTCATTGTTGAAGACGAATGAGACATGAGCTTTGATTTTAGTTCAAGTCTCAAATATGTCACTTTCCAAATGGAAAATGGTTTGGGCAAGTTCATGAAGCTTAGTTTCCTAATCTGTATGAAGTGCATTATATTCGTGCCTACTGATATTAGAGGAGATAGTCCAAGTTCTTATATATTTTTTATTGAGAAACTCATTCCACCTACAATTCCATTAACCAGTTTTTTTCTCTTATTTTATTCTGTTCTCATGTTATTCTCTCTCTGTCTCTCTCTGTATAAAGCCACAGTGAACCCTTAAACCCTTCATATTCTTGAGAGTTATGACATAAGCATCTGGATGCTTCTCTATGAATCTCCTAAAGTAAATACTTAAATGGTATTGGAATATATATTTTTCTCCATAAAAGAATTTTAAATGATCCTTCAGACTCTGAATGAAGAACAACAAATCATGTGATAAGCAGTGGTCTAGTTTTATCAGGGCCCTCACTAGATGACTGACTTGCCTCTCTCTGGCCAACTCTACTCATATTCAGTTTGCATATTTGCCTCAGCAGAATCAAGCAGACTTTGAGGAATGCTTGAGAGTTGTGGAAGTTATGTATTAAATCAATGAAGACCAAGAGTTACTATAGTCATGAAATTTTTAACCTATAGGATTCACATTGTATAATATGTAATTTTTATATTCTTCATATGTTTCATGCACATTTTCCCATATACTTTTAAAGGTACTGCAACAGCCACTTGCAGGTACTTGGCTTTATCCCGAAAAAAGAGAGGAAGAAAAAGAATGATCCTATAGATGAGGTGAAAGTCAGGCACCAGATGGATACCATGGCCTTTAGCTTGACAGTGCCCACACTGGCCTTGAAGATGCCCAACGGACTGGATGGAATGTCCCTCTCTCCACCTGGGGCAAGGGTCCCTCTCCACTACCTGGAAACTGAGTTGGAAGACCCATTTGCTTTCAACGAGGAAGATGATGATCTGAAGAAAGGGGCAACTGTGAGAAAGAAGTTGCAGAGTAAATTGGCCCAGAATCGGCAGCGCCAGAGAGAGACAGAGATTTTAAAAGTTCGACAAGAGCACTTTAGTCCCCCTCCTGCACCTTCCCAGCAGCAGCCTCCGCAGCAGCACTCCCACCTGTCACCTTTATCCACTTTAAAACCTCCAGCGCCGCCGCAGGGTTCTGTCTGCAAGTCACCTCAACCTCAGAACACCAGCCTACCAATGCAGGGAGTGGCCCCCACCACACACACTATAGCACAAGCAAGGCAGTTGTCTCACAAGAGGCCTCTGCCCTTCCTGCCATCCAGTAGGGCTCCCGTCGTGGACCCCCCCAGGACTGACCGGGTCCTTATGAAAGCCACAGCCTTCTCTCCACACTTCTCTTGTATAAGTCAGCTGCAGAGACTGGTGAAACTGTGCACACAAAAACATCAGTTGGATACTGATCTGTTTCCCCACTTAGGTGAGTTTTTGGTTTTACCATATCATATATGTATAGATAAACACATTCTGTCACAGCTACCACATAAGTGATAGGGCTAGAATACCTACCTGTACAGAGTGATGCTCTGGATGCTTCTTTTTAAGCTTGAGGAGATGAGTGTTTCTGTGTTGCCCAGGCTGGCCTCAAACTCCTGGGCCCAAGTGCTCCTCTGCCTCAACCTCCCGAGTTGCTGGGATTATCAGAACTCTCTGTGTCTTATTGTAGGATTTTAGAATAACAATAGCATTGCTAATATTTGCCAATAGCAGGGGGAAAAAAACCCACAAAGCTTCATTTAAAAAAAAATTCACAAGACAATACCTGTGTATGGTTGGAAAGTGAGAGAAAATACAGATAAAACGTCTTTTTCTAATTTAAAGGTTTTTTTGTATTTACTATTAATAGTTGGGTTTATTTGTTTTGTTTTTGATTATTTAAACCTTATTGAATGTGATATGAACTATTATTCTAACTTCAGGAAAAATTCTTTTGCATGATGTGGGTAGCAGTAAAAATATGAACAAAGGACATAAATAGAAGAACAAATATTAATGGTCAATAAACAAACAAAAATCACCATTGGAGGCAGGGTAATATAAATTAAAACAATGAATTACCAGATTGACAAAAATTATACTTAATGTTGCTAAGGGTATTGTGTCATACTTTTTTTTTGGTACTGGGGATTGAATCCAGGGGCATTTTACCACTGAGCCATATTCCCAGCCCCTTTATTTATTTATTTATTTATTTATTTATTTATTTATATTTTTTTGTTGTTGTTTTTGATAGACCTTTATTTATTTTACATGGTGCTGAGAATCAAACCCAGTGCCTCACACACGCCAGGCAAGTGCGCTACCGCTGAGCCACAGCCCCAGCCCTTATTTTTTATTTTGAGACAGGGTCTTGCTAAATTGCTAAATTTCTGAGGCTGGCTTTTAACTTGCAATCCTCCTACCTCAGCCTCCCAAGTCATTGGGATTACAGGCATGTGCCGCTGCACCCTGCCTGTATCTCATACTTTGTTGATGAGTAATGTAGAATACCTTTAAAAATATATATTGGGGCTGGGATTGTGGCTCAGCGGTAGAGTGCTCGCCTAGCACAGGCAGGACCCGGGTTCGACCCTCAGCACCACATAAAAATAAAGGCGTTGTGTTGTGTCCATCTACACCTAAAAAATAAATATTAAAAAAAATATACACACACAATTATTGATAGCCAACAAATTCCCTTTTGGGACTTGTATTAGTTAGCTTTTCATCACTGTGACCACAGTACCTGACAAGAAAAATTTACAGGAGGAAAAGTTTATTTTGGGGTCAGGGATTCAGAGGTTCAGTTCATGGTCAGCTAACTATTGCTCTGGGCCTGAAATGAGGCAGAGCATCATGGCAGAAAGGGCATGGTAGAGGAAAGCTGTCACTACATGCTAGCCAGGAAGCAGAGAGGGAGAGCTAGGGACTAGATATAGTTCCCAAGGGCATGCCCCACTGACCTACATGCTAAAGCAGTGCCCCATTGGCCTATAGTTACTACCCAGTAATCCATTCAAATCATTATTGCATCAAATGGATTAATCCACTAATGAGGTTATAGCTTTCAAAATCCTGTCTTCACCTCTTAACATTGCTACATTTCCTAACGTGAGCTTTTCAGGGGACAATTCATATTCAGACCATCACTGGTCTCTACTCTATGAATAACATGTCCTATCTAATAATCTCTGTGTGAAAATGGTTTTTTTATTACAGCTTTGCTTACAACATTAAAAATCTGTAAATATCTTGAGTAACTGACAGGAAACCTTGATAAATTATTGTACACACAAGTGTTAAATAAGCAGCTATTTAAAAGAATTGAATGAAATGTGTATGTTTTGACCAGGATGTGCCCAGGATTTATCAGGTGGAAAAAAAATCAAGAGGTGTTCTTTGTTACTCTGTTCATGTGCTTTGTTTATTTTTACAAAAACAAAGGACATCATTATATTTATTGATTAAGTATGTGGATAGATATTTGCCTATTTGGTGTTTCCATAGATAGGAAAAAGTGTAAAAGGATATATACTTCTGGGCTGTTAACATTGGCTCTTACAGGGAGACTGGAATTGGGCAGGATGTGTTTTATGGGAAAGGGGAGTGGTAGCTTTTCTTGTGTAGCTTATATTGTTTCACATATTGTTAACACTGTGTTAGCCAGGGGTGGTGGCACAGGTCTGTAATCCTAGTGGCTCAGGAGGCTGAGGAAGGAGGATCACAAGTTCAAAGCCAGCCTCAGCAACTTAGTGAGACCCTGTCTCAAAATCAAAGTACAAAAAGTGCTGGGATGTGGCTCAATGGTTAAGCACCTCTGGGCTCACTCCCTGGTAACAAACAAACAAATAAAAAACACCAACTTTTCGTAATTAAAAATACTTAATAAAACTCTTAGCTGGGTGTGGTGGCACCCACCTGTAATCTCAACGACTCGGAAAGTTGTTACAGGAGGATGGCAAATTCCAGGCCAGCCTGCCTTAGCAACTTACCAAGGCCTTAAGCAACTTAGCAAGACCCTGTCTCAAAAAATAAAAAGGGCTGGAGATGTGGCTCAGCGGTAAAGCACTTTCTGGGTTCAAGCCCCAGGACCGCTCCCCCTCCCACATAACACACCAAAAAACAACTTTTAAAATATAGATAAGCCAAAAGAACAAATTAAAATACCTCAAACCCTACCTAATATCCATTGATTAATACTTTCTCAAATGTATAAATTTGTTCCTACTATACATGCTGATTTATAACTTTTAAAAAATTTTATGGAATTTCAAGTTAATTTTTTATATGAAATAACTTTTCATAGCTGAATTCTATGTTCAATTTTAAGTCATTTCCAGTTTATATCATTATACTCTTGTAGAGCCTTGCCCCAAAATAATTACTGTTACATCTTTAATTTTTTTCTTCAAATAGATTCTTAGAAGTGGAATTTATATTTTTATAAAAACGTTTTTTGGTGAATTACATATATAGCTTAATGGTACAGTGCATACTTAGCATATATGAGCCCCTAGGATCAATCCCTAGCACCAAAAACAAAGTTTTTGATATGTGTTGCTAAATTTTCCTTGAATTACTTTGTCATTTTACTCTTCTTTCAGTAGTACATTTGAATTAGTATGTCTACATCTTTATCAGCCCTGGATCTTATTATTTTTGCCTTTGCAAATTTAATAGAAAATCTGCTTTAATTTTCACATCTTAGATCAGTATTTCTCAAGTTTGGGCCTTTAGACGCTTTTACACTTAAAAAATTATTGAGGACAACTGGGCATGGTGGTGCACACCTGCAACCCCATCAACTCAGGAGATTGAGGCAAGAGGCCAGTCTTAGCAACTTAGGGATGTCCTGTCTCAAAAAAAATAAAAAGAACTAGGGATGTAGCTCAGTCCCTGTGGGTTCAAGCCCCAGTAGCTTAAAAATAAATAAGTAAATTGAAGGCACCATAAAAGTTTTGTATGTGTTATTTCTATTGATACTTACTATGTTAGTTGAAATGGAAAAGTTTAAAAATATTAATGTTTCGTTCAAAAATAACAAAATAAATTCGCCATATAATATGGTGAATAACTTCCAAAACAAAACAAATATAACAAGATAGAGTGTTATTTTGCATTGTTATGCATATGTTAATGTCTGATTTACTAGAAGGAAGGTGGATTCTCATGCCTGTTTCTATATTTAATATGTCATGTCATGATATATGGTTTTAGGAAAATATGGTCTGACTTTTACGTAGATGGAAAAGTTGGAGTACTTTAATAGCCTTTTTAAAGTAATTGTGGACATTGTCCTTTGATTCTTCCCTGAAATTTGATAAGTGGTAGTTGCAATGTGGAATCTGAAACTGTATACAGGAATTTTTCTTATTGTTACATTAAAATCCTTTGGTTTAGGGCTGGGGCTGTAGCTCAGTGGAAAGGCCACTTAGCATGTGTGAGGCACTGGGTTCAATCCTTAGTATCAGGTAAGAATTAACAAATGGAATAAAGGCATTCTGTCCATCTACAATTACAAAAAAATTTAAAAATTGGTTTAGCCAGGCATGGTGGCGCTTGCCTGTAATCCCAGCAGCTCAGGAGGCTGAGGTGGGAGTATCATGAGTTCAAAGCCAGCTTCAGCAACTTCCAGACATAAAGCAACTCAATGAGACTCAGTCTGTATTATCCACTACATTTTATTTATTTTTAAAATACATTTCTTTTATTTATTTATTTTTATGTGGTGCTGAAGATCGAACCCAGTGCTTCACATGTGCCAAGCAAGCGCTCTACCACTGAGCCACAACCCCAGCCCCTCGTCCACTACATTTTAATTTATGATTTCATTCATTTGTGGATGTTGAAAATTCTTCAGCTTTTGAAACTGGAATTTTATGTTGGGGGCTATCAATTTTGAATGAACTTACAAAAAAAATTCAACCTTTTTTTTTTTTTTTGAGAGAGAGAGAGAGAATCTTAATATTTATTTTTTAGTTCTCGGCGGACACAACATCTTTGTTGGTATGTGGTGCTGAGGATCGAACCCAGGTCACACGCATGCCAGGCAAGCGCGATACCACTTGAGCCACATTCCCCAGCCCAATTCAACCTTTTTTTTAAAAAACTGTTTTTTAGTTGTAAATGGACACGATGGACTTTTGTTTAATTTATTTTTTAATGTGGTGCTGAGTATGGAACCCAGTGCCTCACAGGTGGTAGGTAAGTACTCTACCATTAAGCTACAACCACAGCCCCCAAATTCAGCCTTTTTATTTTATTTTATTTTATTTTAAAGTCATTTACAGCAAAGTTTATTTTAGAGAAATTGTAATGTACTCTTAGAACCAAACATAGTCTTTGTTTATGTCAGCAAAGAGTGCTTAAAGAAAAATTTAGTCTTCTAATTAGCTTTTATAGTTCTGTCTGGTCTGGTCATATCAGTTAGTTAATATTAAAACTGGCGATAACCTAAGATCAAAGGTTTGCTGTATTGGATAGTTAATTTCTCAGCAGGAAAAACACAACTTAGGTTTTGACTTTTTCAGAGGAAGTGTGGGTGTCTTAGAAAATATCATTACTTCTATCAACAAAAGATAGATCATATTCTGTTTTGTTTTTGTTTTTGGTACTGGAGATTGAACCGGATACTTAACCTCTGAGCCACATTTTCAGCCCATTTTATTTTGAAACAGGGTCTTGCTAAATTTCTTAAGGTTTGTTAAGTTGCTAAGGCTAAACTCCAACTTTAAGTCCTCCTGATTCAGCCTTCATATTCTGTTTTTTTAAAGGTGTCTTAAGTATCACTTTGAAAGACCTCACTGAAGTTGGTGTTATCATCACTTAATTGTTTCTTTTTCTTTTTTTCCCTACAAATTTTGATTCTTGCACTTAGTAGTAAGTACTCACATTTTAAGGTGACCTGACACCATAAAGGGTCATCTTGGAACTAGATTTGAAGTTTCTTTTACTAGTGGCAATATGTAATTTAATTTTAAGCATTTATAATTTGCATTTCAATTATCCATTTCTTAATTTCTCTATTTGGCACATGTAAACTCATTTAAACTATGAAAGAAGTTCATGAAATCCTTTTAAATATAACTGTCTAATGAGAATGCTCTTTTGATTTTTGAGGTTCTCATGTAGGAAGACATAAAATCAAGATGTCTAATAACTTTCATAGTGGCATGAGTATATTGAAATTGCATGATCCTTGGGGCTGGGGATGTGGCTCAAGCGGTAGCGTGCTCGCCTGGCATGCGTGCGGCCCGGGTTCGATCCTCCAGCACCACATACAAACAAAGATGTTGTGTCCGCCAATAACTAAAAAATAAATAAATATTAAAAAAAAAAAAAAAGAAATTGCATGATCCCACACACTCTGTTATTCTTTAGGCTATGCAACATCTATTTATCAAGACTTCTTCAAAATATAAACTTTTAAAAGGGGAAAACCTTTATGTCAGAAGCTAATAGTTATCCTGTCATTAAAAATTATAGCATTTAACAAAACAGTTAAGCATCATTGATACCATGTTTCTACATTTTATCTCCTCTAAACTTGTTTTAGCAAATGAAGCACAAAATGTGGCAGCTCTTGTTTAAAGGAATTGAAAGAAGGCCCAAACTTCATTTAATTGAACATCGGTATCCCACCTTTTGCTTTTCCCATGGGAGTGCCCTGCCTAATCTTTGGAACCCTTTCCTTTCCTCCACATGTATTGGGGGAAAGATGGAGTGTGTCTGCCTTTGACAGTTTATTCCAAGGCCTTTCTTTGTTGATGGTGACTCCATTACCACCTTTTGACTTTTTTCTTGCTAGAACATTACATACATAGGACTTCTTCTCTTAACCCTCTTGAATGTTTTTCTGATACTGTTTTAGTGTAGGATATTTTGATACTTAAAAATTTTACCTTTTATGTGTCCTGAACTCTATATCTTTGCTTCTGTTGTGTCTACTCCATTAGTAAAGAGCCTGTTAAAAGTCCGTCCTTAATATAGCATAGCCTTTTTGTTATAATGTCATTTTTTCAAAACCTGAGCATATATCATATATTTATTATTAATGCCTTTGTAGTGATAGAAATACTGGAGGCATTTGTTCAACATTATGATAATACTTGCTGGTGTTGGCTTATGTATTTTGGATACCTATTTTTTAAATTAAATTTTTAGTCAAAGTAAATTTTTTTCTAACTTGAATATCCTCTGTCTGCTCCAGGGTTGGACTGGTCCGAAGAAAGCGGAGAGGAACTGGAGGACTCAGAACAGGCTTCACCATACCAGGTTGCATGGTCTATCCGAGAAACCCTCAGATACGAAAGACACACGTAAGCCTTCCTTTTTGTTTTTATTTTAATTCTTTAAGCACCATTGTAGCAGATAGATTTTGTACTAATATTTTTCTCTTATTGGATCTAGTTTTGATATAATGGAGGTAAAGTAGTTTCCATTTGGAAAGAAATGTACCATATTATTTGAGCAAAGCTAATCTTAAGTTTTCTTGGTGAATTTAGAATTTGTAATAGAGTTTAGAATTGGAAGGGACCTTGGAGATTTCTTCCTTTTTTTTTTTTTTTTTTTAATTGGTACTGGGGATTGAACCCAGGGGAGCTCTACTACTGAGCTATGTCCTTGGTCCTTTTTTATTTTATTTTATTTTATTTTTTTGAGACAGGGTCTAAGTTGCCAAGGCCAGATTTGAACTTGGGATTTTCCCTCTCAGCTTCCTGACTAGCTAGGATTACAGATGTGCTCCCCCATGACCACCGGGCCTTAGAGATTATCTGATGCAATTGCTTCATTTTACAGAAGAGGAAAGCAAGCCTAAACAGGTTAAGAGCTTGTCATATCATTAGGAAGGCTACTTGGAATCCTCCTGTCTTGCTTCTCCACATCTTCTTTGGCTATTTCTCCATAGAAGCTAGAAATAGTGCTTTTTGCTTCATTTGTGTCTTTGCAATTTTAATTCATTCTTTAATATTTCTGCTGTGCTAAAAATTTGTTTAATCTTCTTAGGAGCTTTTTGTACCTACTCTATAAGAAATCTTGTTTTAATATACTTAAACCCTCTTGAGTACATTAGTAAGAAAGCATTTGTGTAAGATCCGTAGAAGATTAATGCATGTGTTCTTCAGTAATAGATGGTGCGAGAACATTTCAGGTGATTGCTTTAGCAATATAGGGATTCACTTGGTGCCACATCACAGTACCAAGAGAAATCCATGTCCATAGGGCCAGAAGATGACTCACTGACTAGAATAATGATTTAAACTGTTGTAGTTCAAATAGACACCCAACAAGATAGAGACCAGCTCTCTGCCCCAGACTGACTCCTAGATGTTCGTAATATCATTTTATGTACATCTAATTTAGGTTATGGTTCTTGAATTTGTAGGATTAAAAAGGTGGTTTGTTAGTTCACCCAGAGATGATGAGGCTTAGAAAACTGATTATTAGAGACTGATCTATAAGCCAAAACTACATGGGAGGCAAATTATAATCAAAAGCTTATTTGGCCATGGAATTAAAGCAAAAAGAGTTGGTTGGATTTTATTAACAGACAGTGTCACTAAGTTACAAGAGCATCATGTGTTCTTTTCTACTCTTAGGATTTACTTCCCAAATTCTTGTCCCTGCTTTACTTACATGCTAGACAGTATTGGAGAATGCTACCACTGTAGCATTCACTCACTCTGACGTTTATTTTATATGTCATTCATGACTGTTACCTTATCATTATATTCTTTCTTTCAGCCATAGTACAATAGAATCAATTGAGTTTAAGCTTTCCTAGTTACAGACATGTTTCATATCAACTTGACTTGGGATATTTTGGGGTAATTTTACAAACTGCTGTGAATTAACATAAATCCTTAGCAGTATGCCTGGCATATGGGAAATAGTAGTTATTCCTAATTTTATTCTACTTCAACACTGGTATTGGGTATATTTGGTATTGATTAGAGTAATGTATATTCCACTTCTGCCTTCTGTATCCCCTCATCCTCCCAGTTCTGGGAATTGAACGCAGGGTGCTTTGCCACTGAACAACATCTCCAGCCTTTTTTTTTTTTTTTAAAGAGAGAGAGAGGATTTTTTAATATTTATTTTTCAGTTTTCGGCAGACACAACAGCTTTATTTTATTTTTATGTGGTACTGAGGATTGAACCCAGCGCCCCACGCATGCCAGGCGAGCGCGTTACCGCTTGAGCCACATCCCCAACCCTCCAGCCCTTTTTTAAACTTTGAGACAGGTTCTTACTAAGTTGTCCAGACTGCTCTTGAACTTGAGAGCCTCCTGCATCAGCCTCTTGAAATAGCTAGGATTACAGGCCTCACCTTGCTTCTACCTTCTATTCTTGAATAGTTATCAAAATACTTTTTTTCCCTTCTAAAAAAATTTTTGGACAGGGTCTCACTAGGTTGCTGAGGGTAGTCCCCAGTTGGTGTCCTACTACCTCAGCCTCAGAGTAGCTGAGATTAAAGGCATGTATCACTGTGCCAGTCCAAAATACTTCTTTTGTTATTTTAGGCTTCTGACCATCCTCAGTTTTCTTCATCTCCAAAGCAGTTTACTCTTGGTCATTTTTGCTAACTTGCTTCTTCCACTTTTACTACCATGGTTCCCTTCTTTCTTGTTTATTCTTTTCTTTCAGATAATTTCTTTTCTTTTTACAGGCAATTATCTTTACTTCCCACCAGCTGTAATTTTCATCTCTTCTTCATTCTTTTCATTCATTCATGTACTCTTCAGTTTATATCTGTTAAGCTCTTTTACTCCAGCTGGGGGCACTGTGTTTTTTCTTTTGTGTGAAACTGAGATCACATTGGTTTATCATCCTTTCTATGCCAACAGCTGCATGTCTGTGTCTGTCTACCTCTTTTCCCTCTCACAAGAAACCCTTTCCTGTGTTTTAAATTATCCAAGGAACTTTTTATTCCTTTATTTTTTTTTGTTACAACCACCTGTGCTTTGTTGTACCTTGTGTGAGTATAGGTAATTATCCTTATGTAATCTATCCGTTATATCTTTTAGGAGTTTTTGCCATTTTAAATTTCTAAGGGAATTCTTTTGAGTTTTTGGAAAAAAGACTGACGTCTGATTATCACATTTCTGCCTAAAGAGCCTTTCTCATGAATTATTTGTTAAACTATGATTATACTAAAAGTAATTTTTAGAACAAGGCTCAGTTTTGTTTTGGCAAAGTTTTCTTGGTTATTTTAGTTGTAGATGCACATGCCTCTGTATGATCTTTCAGACTTTGTTCTCAATATCAGAAATAATTACCTTAAATATATTATTATTAGTGTAATTTTTACTTTTTTTTTTTTTGGTACTATCGATAGAGCCCAGGGATATCCCCAGCTGTTTTTATTTTTTATTTTGAGAAAGGGTCTCAACTAAGTTGCGTAGGCTCTCACCAAGTTGCTGGGGCTAGTCTTAAACTTAATCTTTCTGCCTCTGCCTCCCAAGTCACTGAAGTTATTGGCATGTGGCGCTATTCCCAGATTGTAACTGTTGTAAAGGAACAGTAGTTACTGCCAGGAGCTGTTCATCTTTGCATTTCCAAAATGGTGTCTTTTCATTTAAAAAAAAAAAATCTCTATTTAATAAACCGTAATTGGCTTTTCCTTACGGTGAGTACACTTGTCACTTGCATAAGAAATCATGGCTATGTCGTGGTCATGAAGATATTCTCTCATTATCTTCTAAAATCTTGATTGTTCTATTGAAAATCCTTCTGGAATCTAATTTTGCATATTTTGTATATGGTATGAAATGTGGGATTAACAATGTCTTCCTTCCTCCTTTCCTACCAGTTTGTGCATCCAGGCTGGGGATTAACCCTAGAGTCCCCTGGAGGAAGCACATGTTCTGTCACTGAGCTGCCCCCTAGCCTTAATAGTTTGTTTGTGTGTGTGTATGTGTGTGTGTGTGTGTTTTATTTGGAGTGTTTAGACCATTTAAATTCAACTTGATTATTGATACTGGATTTATTTATTTATTTATTGTTTTCTCCTTTTTAAAAATTTATATATAACAGTGGAATGCATTACAAATCTTATTACATATATAGAGCTCAATTTTTCATATCTCTGGTTGTATACATAGTATACTCACACCAATTCATGTCCTCATACATGTGCTTTGGATAATAATCATCATCACATTCAACCATCATTAATTACCCCATGCCCCCTCCCTTCCCCTCCCACCCCTCTGCCCTATCTAGAGTTTGTCTATTCTTCCCACCCTCGCCCTCCCTATCCCACTGTGAATCAGCTTCCTTGTGTCAAAGAAAACATTTCAGCATTTGGGTTTTGGGGATTGGCTAACTTAGCATTATCTTCTCTAACTCCATCCATTTACCTGCAAATGCCATGGTTTTATTCTTTTTTATTGCTGAGTAATATTCCATTGTGTGTATATGCCACATTTTTTTTATCCATTTATCTATTGAAGGGCATCTAGGTTGGTTCCACAATTTAGCTATTATGAATTGTGCTGCTATAAACATTGATATGGCTGTGTCCCTGTAGTATGCTGTTTTTAAGTCCTTTGGGTGTAGACTGAGGAGAAGGATAGCTGGGTCAAATGGTGATTTCATCCTCAGTTTTCTAAGAAACCTCCGTACTGCTTTCCATATTGGCTGCACCAATGTGAGTCCCACCAGCAGTGTTGATATTGGATTTAAATCTAGTATCTTTTATTTGTTTCTCTTTTGTTCCATCTATTATTTGTTCTTTTCATTGATTTTTTTTTTTTTTTGTACTGGGGATTGAACCCAGGGACACTTTACCACTGAACCACATCCCCAGCCCTTGTTTATTTTTTTAGAGACAGGAGCTTGTGAGTTGCTTAGGGCCATGCTAAATTTCTGAGGCTGTCTTTGAACTTAAATCCTCCTGCCTCAGCCTCCCAAGTTGCTGGGATCACACACACAGTGTATCACCACACCTGGCTGCACTGACTTTTTTTTTATAATTCCATTTTATCTTCTTCCTTGGCTTATTAATTGTACTTCTTTGATGTGTTTTTTAAAAGCTTATATTGTGCATCTTTAATTACTACAGTCTACCTTCAGGTGTTATAGCTCATGAATAAGAATTATATAACGGTATACTTTTAAAAATGTTATCATTACTGCATTGTAGTTACACATAATAGTGGGATTCATTTTGCTTATAATTGTATATTTTGATTCTACCCTTTTAAGTTATCTACTCTGAGAATCTCTGCTTTTGATTCAGCAATTTGATTGGTTTAGGCAATTTAAACTTATTTTTTATTTAAAAAACTGTTTTGAGACAAGAGTCACATTAAGT